TAACTAGATTTACAGAATAGCGAATGAGTCTGGAAGTAGCAGCTAGTCTCTCCCTAATTATGGACACATCAGTGCAAACCAGATGATACCGAATAGCAAATTGTCACTTTGACACTGTGAACGTAATCTCTCAATATTAGACAACTGAATACCTTTCATTCATCTGACGGAACTACTGATAATTGACCATTTCTATTCAAGGTAAAACTTTTACCTTTCTACCTCAATTAGTGGGACAGAAAAGTTAAGTAATACTAGTTATCTTTTGGCCTAAGTCTCCAAGAATTTCCGTTCTGTGTAAGTTTTTAAGGTGTTATTGTGGGCGCGTTCAAAACCATTCGGTTTTGACTGAACAAGTTATTGTCTTCCATATAACGACGAATGCCTACGGGTTCCTTACCGGCTCCAGTGAGCTGCTATTTATTTCGTGAACTACAAGCAAGGCACTGCAGGACTGAAGGGATTTCGGTAAGGGGAGATTTGTTTGTTTGTTTGTTTGTCTAGGCCATAGAAACGAAATTTGAAACATAGACCTTCTCTTTGGATTCTGCCTACTACATTTAACAAGTATGAATCGATTTCACTAATCAAGTTTGAAAAAGCGGATTAGGTAGGCATTGGTTATGGGGTATTTATTGTATAAAACCCATTTTGCTAAAAAGCACTTTGTCCTTGACCACTTGTGTCCATCTCGTTTGATCAATCCCTAAAGAAAATGAACAATACTCTCTTCAAATTACGAGCTATTTATTTTGGTTAGGAGGACCAAATAAGTCTAACAGACTGAGAACATGACTGCACGATGCGTTGCCATATTATTTCATGAAAACAATGTTCCCTACGCACTCACTAGTCAGGCTCAGGCGAAATATATCCCATAGGACAAGTCCTATTGAGGCATCAAATTGGTACAAAAAAAGTCATCAAACACCAGTCCTGCAGACAAACTCACATGTGCATGCACACTTGGTATCATCAGCGTCACCTCATCCACATTGGTTCATGTTATTGTTGTTGTTGTTGTTGTTTTGATCCGTTAGGAAAAACTGCGGCCAGTCAGAGAGCATATTTTGTTTACCTAAAGTCCGATAAAATGTTTATACAATTGAAAATATTATTCTCTGAGTATAAGCGTGCTTTTCAGGAAAAAAATACATTTATGCAATATTCATTTTACCGTATTTTGGAAAACCTATATTGTGTGGACAAAGATACCATATTTTCCGTGTCAATTAGGCTTTCACTCACGTCTACAGCTTTCCCGGATGATTTTAGCGTGTACGATTGATACCAATGTTTTTGAGTGATTGAAGCAAAAACACGTGAGAGGAAGCCGTCAGTAATTGTTTCAGGTCAGTAATTCATGTGTGAGGACTGCCAAGAGCGAGGGACAGCGAGAGCAAGAAAGAGAAACAATCAATTAGGGTTGTGTATCTTCGATTCATATCGATTACCCTTTCGAATTGGACTGTTTATTTTGCACTATTGGCAAAGTTGCTGTTTCTGCAATTCCCGAACTCTGTGCTTTCCAGAAACAAGTTTAATTTGGATTGGAGTAGCGTTCATTAACTAGTGAATATACCATCCGGTTGATTTTATACAATGTTTTGTGTTCTGGCCCAGCAAGAGTACCAGACTTAAGAACAGTACCGGTAAAAAAGTTGATCAAGGGAAACCCAGTTGACCAGTGATTTCGCTGTCAATGGAATCCGAGCGACTGTAATCTGTGCAAAAATTAGTCGGACAAAATTAGTCGGTAGAGAGGACCACATATATCAACGAACGGGTCAAACACAACACTGCCACTTCACAGGCACTGATTTTTTCATCTCGGCTGGTGATAAAACATTTGCAAACAAATTGCCAAGCTCGGTGAACAGGTGAAATGGAAGATTTGTTTACGCAGCTAAGTAATGGCAATTTCAAACGGATCACATGTAGTTTGTTCTCATCAGTTATTCACCATTATTTGGGTTCGTAAACGACCCACAGAATCACAGTTAAAAGACCTGGCGAACTGCCTGTTTTGCCCGTTTTTCACAGAAATAATATATTTGCATAAATGATGTTCCAGACTAAAAAAAAGAACAATATAAGTTGGAACCAAAAACCAGAAATTCTATGTACAGCTCCATATTTTACGAGCTGATCACTATAACTCATTGATCGTGCGGTTCAGTAACAGTTCGTTCCTGAGATAACGGGGCAACTATGCATCACGGTGAATAACTATCCGTACGACAAAATGACCACACTATGTGAATAAGGTATAAAATACTCTTTTCATATCTTAGCTAAGGATCGGGAATACTAGGGCAATACAATAAAACATATCCTCGTTGATTCATCATGTTCAGAAAAGAGCTGAAATTATTATTATTGTTATTTAATAATTCATTGTTTAGCTAACAAAACAATCCTGGGGATAAAACAAACGGGTATAGGTTTCACAAATTGCTTAGGATATTACAATATCACAAACATCGATAAATACGAGAACGCATATAGCTGAGAATGAACCCTAGCAACCTACTTCTCAAACAGTTAGCTGATCCGACTCAAATTATTCTATGATAAATTCACTCTCCGTTCTTATTCATTCGTGATGTTTTGATCCAAGATTACATTTAGTTCCACGCGCGCGCACAAACACACACAGATACACACTGCGAATATTTTCAGTCGGTTACTGAAACATAGAATAGCACTTCGGTTGAACAATTCCCTTCTCAACACACACACCAGTCCCACCGGTCATCCATGGATACTGTAGCATTTGGCGTTAACCTGCACGCCACCGAGATAGAGCGAATCTCACTACGTCCAGTTCGAAAACAACGTTCACTTTGCACCGGAAATACACGTCGATCGAAATCCCCTAGGAATCCTCCAAATGAAACGGTTTATTTTCCCTATTCACATTTTTCCCTTTTGGATGACGGCTAGTTTCGGTTGAAGAGAATAAAGAACGGGGCAAATTTCATCACCCTTGTTGACCGGATTGATGTTTGTTAACCAAAACTATTACAAATAACATATACCACATTGATGGAATTGTGATTGTTATGCATATCAACTACATGATTATGGTGCTCACCATTTCACACAATGCAACTCAGAGTGAATGGCTGTGGAGAAGATTTTCGTCAACTGGATATTCTTTGAATTGGTAGTAAAATTGCCCCAAAATACCCATATTGGTTATAATGTCTTGTGTGAGAAAGTATGCAACAAAACGCAGTATAAAGTTTCACTAGTTTGAACCAGAAAACAGTGAATAGAATAAAACGAAACACGATTAGAAATTACCAAGTCTTCAAGTTTGTCGACCAATCATAACTGATTAGCAATGATAATTTTTAGTTACATCTTTTGAGCACAGAAATGAACGAAAATAGTTCCAAAACCTCAAAATATTCTCCGGCATTTAAAATTCAACGGAACGTTGGGTTTCGTGTATTGTCCAATTTACTTTATGTTTCTTCAATAGCCTGTGCAATTCAACTCGCAAAAGATTCACCTCCGTGGGTCACTCTCGTAAAAAATTTGTATAGGAATAGTTGCGATGACCGACAAAGTGCACTAGGAGGCTGTTTTGTTCGGTTTGGAACTCGTTATTTGTGCTTGCCTTCTCAGGACTCGAACCGCGAACCTTCGGATTGGGACTTTAAACCCTTAACTTTGAGCTACACGGTAAATGGTCATGTCCTTGAGTGAATGGTTCAATTCATGATATCAAATTTAGATTAATCTATTTAAATGTTGACAGGAGCCAGGCATTGTCGCTGATCTTGAGTTCAGTGGGGAATTAAAATCTCCTAAGTATTGAGACCCATACTCAACACGATCAAGGGTGTCTGGTGCCTGTTAACAATCAAATGGACTAATCCAAATTTGATAATCTAGCTTGTCAGTAATGTTAATGGACAAATGTGAACACCACTCTGTCTGAACAAATCTTACCCAAGTATATCTAGCCGCCTAGAACTGCGTTCTCAATTTTCAAAGTACAACAAAGTCTAACACAGGACCATGTATTTTATTACCAGTATTCAGTTGATATACATTTGAATTCGGTACACCTTAACATCTCTGCGGTAGCGGTTCACTATCTGTGAGAAGCTTGAGTATAAAATGTACGATATTCAGATGTTTGCGGAGAACTTTCTTCGTATGCGCATTATCAATAAAACCGAAACACTAAAACAAATGTTAAAGCGCAGTGACTGATGAAGAATATTTTCAGCGACCGACTGTCATCGGAAGGCGGTTTTCAAGTGGGTGATGCATAGACTTCACTGTGGTGAAACACCCTGGATTCCTATCCTGTGGAGCAATGAGAACCGGGGTTTGACCGTTGTCGTCTCCCTAAAGATAGAGGTCGGTCTTTGTCATTAGAGCAGCTTAAATTGCCTAATCAATATTTTAGGTACGTCCAATCAGGCATGTTTCATTCGATAACAGTCACCCCGCTCTAGGGCCATCACATCGAATATCTTTGACACCTTAACAACTCCCCAGCTACCGTGCGGTATCGATACACTGAATACGTTTATACCCCTCTATCTGCTCTGTCTTATAAACTGACGCAGCCGAAACCTTAGTGCATTGCTTTAGACTGTAATACTCCATTTTATGCCACACCAGTGACATCGGACCTCGTCTCAGTTGAATGGCATTATTTGAGGGCAATCATTCATTCGAAGATTCTTTAAGGCCCGTGGCACATTCAGACCACAGTTTCTTGACACTCGCTCACATCCTGAGTTTGGAGAAGCACAATTCTATTTTAGGGATGATACCAATGAAACATTACTTGAATTTGAAAGTTAATTTGTGTCAAAAAAACATTTTTATGTACAGAATACTGGACTCACATGGTCTGCGGTCTAAAACAAGCTAGATAATTACCATTTTGTTTCAGATAGTGCGAATACACCCACTCATTCACGATCGTTCAATCTTCCCTTATTCTCTAATCAACTCTTCTTATCACACAGGCCATCTACGATCTGTTGATCTATTTGGAATCCAACTTCAAAACATTGCGTAGCCGAGTCTCGGACAGTCTGTTTCGACGTTTCCTGTTCGAATTGTGGTCCGAATGTCTGAGCCAGTTTGTTGAACAGGCGCACAAAGAGGCCGAGATCGGGCCGAATGCCAGTGGTCCCGGAGCATATCTGATGCCCACGCTGGACAACACATCCACGCCGGGTCGATGTATCATTCCGTTGACCACGCATTTCACCAATGATGATCATATGGCCGCTCTGCCCGAGCATATTACACGCGAGTCCATTTTGCGTGCTCGATCGATTCTGATAAAGTTGAAACAGGCACTGGAATTGCTGCTCCAATTTTTTCTCAAAATGAGCCAGGGCCAATTGCAGCGTTCTGATTTGGACGAGCAAAATTTCAAGGTGAGTGACACCAATTAAATTGTGAACGTCCACTTCAATCGAAACCCTGATTACACGTTTGGAAGTTTCAGAAATTTCAAAGTCAAATACATATATATATATATATCTTCGCACTCAAAGACCTATTCTCCAAGCCCCTTAAACTTAATTTCAGATGTTGCAGTGTAATCTAACATGTATCCCTTGATTTTACTTCTTTTTAAATATTTTCATGTTTGTGTCAAGTTTGTTAACGGAGTGTTCAGTTATGACGGTAACTGCCTGTATGAAATCTTTGTGAAATTTGCACCCAAGAGTTCGATAGTTTGCAAAGTGAAACCTCTGCTTGCTCGTACTTCCGCCTACACGGGGTTATTATAGTTTCATGTATTTCTCTTTTTTCGGTTTTGCCGAGCAGAACATTTACCATGATAAGAAATATATTGTCGCTATAGGCTAGCTGCTGCTGCTGCCATTTCGTACAATACAACTGTTTACGATTCTCTCCAACATGAGTCTCAAATACTTCTGAAAATTCTCTCTCTATCCGGACCGACAAAACATACCTCTACTTGGTGGTGAATATCTATTGTAACTCATCTAAATACTGGCCTGTACAGCGCATACACGAAAGTGTTTCAAAATAGTTTTTCGCGATTTTCCAAGTTCACGAAAGAGTAGGAGGTCTGTATCACACTGCTCAGCACAGGAGAGTGAATCTACGGTAAGGCATGAGCCATTCACTTTTCTACACATTGTGTATGTATTGAAAATGCACCTGTTTACTTAGTGATTCGATAGTCAATATAATAATGTTTCAGTGTCCCCATTTCGTGGTCTTTGCCTGCTAGGTTGGCGAGAAGTCAGTAATCTGTGATCCATTTTCCGCCATGTGTTGTGAGAAGAATGAACAGCAGTATGTAATCCATTTATTTGATTGCCTTTGCGCCAATATTTGTTGCGATTTTCAATACCGCTAAACGTTTGAAGCCCCGTAGTAAAAAAGCAGCACGTTTTCATTATTGGTAAGATCCGTTAATGGAAAATTATCTGAATTTGTGTCTCTTATCAAGGTGCTTGCCGAATATTCCGGAATGCGCGTGAACAAGATTATTCTCTCCTTCAGATGACAGTCTACTGAACGGAAATCTCTCCGGCGCGTTGTTTACTCTTCCGTGTTCAGTTCAATGAATCTTCCATGTAGTCATTTTACTTGGATAGAATATTCTATGTATGAATGATTTTATCTACGAAATTATATTTATTATTTTCTATGAACTCGAGATTAGCCACTAACGGGATGTTTTTATTTATTAAGGCGGTACAAGGGGAACAGTGGCTTTTAGATCACTCGGTATTCTAGTTCGGCTCTCCGTCTTTCCATTCTATTTTAACAGGGATACGTATGTACATTCCTCTTTGAATTCAATCTTCTTTAATGAGTTTCGCAGTTTGTTCAGGAACACATCTGTTTTCTTTTTTAACCACAATCTCTCAAAAGTGTACCTCAGCATCCATAATTTCATGTCTCTGATCAATACCTCCATTTAGTGTAGCCGCAGATGAATTCTACCTTTTCATAAAGCGCAACATGGGCGCCTAATGAACTACCAGATACAAATTCAAACGTATCCTGTAGGTTGTTAGAATCTACAGAATGATGACGGTCAAAAGCTGATATTAAAGAAGTGTAACCCATTGTACAAATTTCTCTACACAGTCGGTACACTGCACACTCGTACATCTACTTAGATTTATAGTTTTCTAGACAAAGGATCTATACATACGTAATATTTATGAAAGCAACTCAGAATTGTAATCTTCCGCTCAGTATACCCGGTTCTATGGAACGATGGACGCGTTTCACCTCAGCCTGGTTAACCTTTTAATGCCATCTATCTAATTTGTTGAAGATTGCAATCCCTTATTCTATTCATAATGTTGCCTCGTTTTTCTAATGCAGCCATTTCTTTCAGAATGAGTTAAAAATCTATAGCTCTTTATCCTCAAGCAGCACAAATTAGAGAAAACATTTAGTGAAACTGCTCTACTCTCTCAGATTCCGAAACCGTCGTTTCATCGTGCAGAGCTGTGCCCTAAAATAATATCATCTTTTGTTTTGCTGTCACATGTTTTCAGCTCTTCAAATGGCTTTGATCAAGTAGACTGGGGAAACGTTTGTCTTAGGTCACTTCAGAAAAACTTTTTGGACACTTGGATTGTTTGTGTGAGCGTATTGCTCTCACTTGCTACTGAAAAGTGAAATGTGGCTTTTTTTAATTACACACATTTTTGTGATGAACAGCTGACGGGGAAAGCCCCACAGTCACGATGACCTACTGTTCAGTAATGTCAACTGGTAACCTAAGCCCCGGGACTTGGAGTAGTGAACCACATAAGGCCCCGACAGGTTGGGTGTGGTATTGAACCGGGCGACAGCAAAGCTGCCTACCACCAAAGTTGGGTGGCGAGGCAGGACTCAAACCTCGGACCACAGGGTCCAAAGAACGCCTGTGACAGCGA